CAGGCGGATCTGTGATTGGCCTCATGTGGATGTTTGTAATTAACGGCCAATCAGCCCAGCAGGCTCGGGCTCTCTGTCCGAACCACAAACCTTTGTTATCATTCCTTTCTATTCTTAGCTTAGCTAGCTTTCTGATGAAACTTTTTCTTCTTTTAGCATAGTTTTAATGCAACATATATCATAAAATAATAAATCAAGCCTTCTGAAACATGGAGTCAGATCCTCGTCTCTTCCCTCATCCAAGAACCCCTGTGAACGCTGTCACACAGCCTTGCTCCATCCACAGAGCTCTGTCCCCACCGTGTCCCCTCCTTTCCAGCATTTATGGGAGCCCCAGTCCTGCAATCAGGCGCTGGCAGAGGTGATCTGGGCACAGGGCAGAGCAGGTTGTGCTGTCTGATTGCAGCCTGGGCTAACAGCCAGCTCCTCACCCTCACCAAAACCTTGATTTTTTTCCCCTTTTCCTGCACGGGGGCAGTGATACAGTCTTGGCTGCTGGTGAGGGGTAAAAAATAAACAACCACTGGAGAGAAAACCGTGGCAAAGGTGGGCTTGGAAAGAATAAAAGAGACTCAGGTATCAAGGCAATGCCCAGAGGACGGGTGGGGAGCAGTAACCCAACCTGCCACAGCCAGCAACCAGGGCTGGCGGATCAAGTTGTGATACAAAGACGGTTACAAAAACCTGAATAAACAGAGGGAGTCACCTTACGCCGGCCCCAGCTCGAGGGTTTGAGTACACAGCTGCGAGCCGGGCACTCCCTGGAGACGACACAGCCCCAAAAGAGATGTCAGAACCCAGGGGGAGCACCCCGGGGACCCCCCGAGCCCCGTGGCTGGGAGGGGAACAGGCTGAGCCACGCTCAATTCCCTTCCTGAAGCCTTCAGGGCTGTTTGAGGCTGCCCTGGCACCGGGCAGTGCCACGTCTGCCCTGGCACTGCCACCTCCGCCCAGTGCCAGCCTGGAGGGAGGGTCACAGGGGACAGTGACCTCGGGACAGTGACCCGCGTCGGGCCAGCACCGGTGCCAGGCTCATATGGGACCCCAGGAGGGATCATTCAAACCGTGACGCCGGGGACACCGGGCCTGACAGACAGACCGACAGACAAACAGACAGACTCCTGCCCTCTCCTCCTGTCCCATTCCCAAGGAACGCGTTCCCTGCCGGGGGATTTCGGAGCTATTCCCGTCACTGACCCCTTGGCAGCAGAACAAAGTCGTTCCGCAGCTCCGTCCCGAGCCCCCGGTACACCGGTGCAGGAGAAGGGGGCTCCAGCGCACCCCCGGTGATCGGGAGGAGCACCGTGACCTCCAGGGGATAAACGCTAATTATAAGGCTCATTATGCCGGTGCCGGGCTCGGCTCTGACACCGCCCGCGGGCCCGGGGAGCTGGGGACGGGCTGTCCCGGGAGGCGCCGCCGCCGCCGCTCCCCGCCCGCACCGACAGCCCGGGGGGCTCCAACCCGGCCCGACCGCCCCACGGCCCGCCCGGCCCCGGGCCCGCACTCACGGGAACGGCTCCTCGGGGCCCGCGCCGCCCCGCAGCACCACCATGGCGCGCCGGGACCGAGATCGGAACCGGGACGGTGACCACAACCGGGACCGGGACCGGGACCGGGACCTCCCTCCGCCTCCTCCACCCCCGGCCCGCACCGGCGGCACCGGGCCCGGCACCGCCCGCTGGAAGTGACGTCACGGGGGGCGGGGGCACGGGAAGCCCGCCCCGGGCGTCGCGGGAGGTGGGGCACCGGGGGTGCTACGGGGAGCCCCAGGAACCGGCGCTCGGCGGCTGCCGGACCCCATTAACCCCGCGTGGATCCCTGTTGTCCCCCCATAGCTCCCCCGTTAATCCCCGTGAACCTCCAGTTAACCCCCGTTAAAGCCCCGTTAACCTCCGTTAACCCTCGTTAAACCCCTCGTTGCCCCCCGTTAACCGCCCCCCCCCTTCCGCCGCTCTACCGGGCCCCGCGCCCTGCCCGGCGCCGTTCCCCCGCCCGTCCGCGAGGCGGCGCTGCGGCCGCGCCCCCGCCGCGCGCAGTATTTGCATGCCGACCAATGGCGGCGGGGGGCGGGGTTCTCTGGGATAGACGAACCAATGAGAGCGCGGGGCGGGGAGGGGCGGGGCGCTCCCGGCGCGGCGGGCCAATGGCGGCGCGGGGCGGGGCGGCGCGGGGCGGGGCCGGGTCCCGCCGCCCGCCCGCCGCCCGCCCGCCCGCGGGGAGAGCAGCGCCGCGGGCCCCGCGCGCACCGGCCCCGCCGAGCCCGACCCCGGGCGGCCGCGGCTGCTATGCGGCTTCGCGGCGCACGGCCTGCACCGGGTAAGGGGGACGCGCCGCCGCACCGCTCGCGCCGATGGGATCGGCACCCAGAACGGGAGCTCCGCCGCGGCCGTAGCCGGGACCGGGAGTCGGGGGCTGGGCGGGACCGGGGCCGGGGAACGGAGCTCAAGACCGGCCGCCTCTCCGAGGTGGGCTGGGCCCTCCGCTGCCGGTGCTGGGCGGGAGCGCGGCGCCCCCTCCCCCCGCGGCCGGTTACCGGCCGCCTCCCCCACGCGGGACTGGGGTTCCTCCCCCGCGGTCGGTCCCGGCCTTGACTCTCCGTTCTCGCCGGGCGCTGCTGTCCGGGCCGGGAAGAGCCCCGTGGCCCCGCCCTGTGCCCCCCCCCCAGCCCCGCGGTGTCCCGGGGTCCGGACGGCGGAGGGGCCAGGCCGGGCCGACCCAGGCTCGCCTCTACGCGTCGGGGGCGGCCGTTTCCCCCCGTTCATTCGCGGGACCAGGGCCCATTGGGGCCCCGCCGCCTCCGTGCCCGGTCCTGCTGAGCGCCGCCGGTGCCACGTGCCGCCGGGAGCGGGGCCGGGCTCAGTTTTGGGGATGGGACTCCTGTTCTCCTAGGCTCCCCGGGGACGGCACCCACCGGGCACCCACCCTGTCCTTATCCTCCTCTTCCTCACTCAGCCTCCGCGACACCCCCGGAGCCCTTCCCGGCAATGCCGTGAGCCCGCCCGGGGGGTGTCCGGCCGCGGCCAGCCCAGCCCCGGTGTCGGTGGCACAAAGGCCCTTCCGTCACACCCCCGCTGCCTATTTTTAGCCGCTGTCGCTGCCGAGCACCTGCCCCGAGGACCCGGGTGACGCCGCCGCCGCCTCGAATCCCTCGCGGGACCCCCGGTCACCGCCCCACGGCGGGGAACAACGCACCGGCCCCCGTGGCCCCGGAGGGACAAAGGGGCACGGACGGCTCAAGGTCACCGGGGTGCCGCGGAGCCCCGGCTGTGGCCGCGCCACTCGGGTTTCCCTGTGGAGAAGCGGCAGCGTGGCTCCGCGGTCCTCGGGGAGGCGGCTGCACGCCCGGTGCTGGCACCGTGTCACCCTCGGAGCCGGGAGCACGTGCCCGGCTCGGTCCGGCTCCGGTTCGCTGGTGGATGGCGCTGGGGACGGGGTTGAGGTGCGGTGCGGGGCAGGAGCGCGGCCGGTGAGCGGCGGCTCCGGTGCGGGAGCGTCCGTGCCGCGATCTGCCCTCCGTGAGGGCCACACAGCTCTGGTTAGAGGGGAAACTGAGGCACGGCCGCTGCTGGCCCGCTTGTGCCGCGCCTCTGCTGGCTCCCCATGGAGGCGGTGGCTGCCGAGCTTGCCGTGACGGCGGCGACGTGTCCGTGCATGGCGTGAGCCGGGCCGGGAGCGGATGCAGCCGCGGCGAGGCGTGGGGGAAGCGGCTCCCGCCCGCCCGCCCGGCCGCGGCCCCGCAGCCCACACTGGCAGCGGGTTCCTCTTTCCAGAATGCGCGGGATCGCGGCGTAGCTGCCGGTTGTTCTGGCCCCGTGAGGGTCCTGCCGTGGCAGCTGAAACGGGCAAAGCCCGTACCCGGTACAACCGCGGTGCTCCGGTGAGCTCCTTCCCTGCCGAGCTCCTTCCCTGTCGTCAGTGCAGGCGAGGTCACGGCTGGGAGCTGCCGGTCACACCGGGGGCTGCTGGCCACACCGGGGCTTGGGAACTCGCTGCTAGAAGGGCTCCAGACCAGAGTGTTGGGGTTCTGCAGGGCCGAGCTGAAATCCCCTCGGTGTTTCCCAGTGGGGCAAAGCACAGATGAACTGCCTGCAGCCTCACGTTGCCTTGGAGGCCCCCCAGGGAAGGGGAGTAAGGCGGCTCTGGGGGTGGTTGGCTGAGCCTGTTTGCCAGGGTTTCAAAGCTCTGCCTGTCCATCCCCTGGGATCTGCCCCGGGGTGCTTTGGGGCCCCTCCAGTGTGCAGGGCAGCCCCCAGTGCTGCCCACGCCCCACCACGATGTGGGATCCCCAGCAGGGGATGTGCCTTGTCCCCTGTGGGGGACCCGGTGGATGTCCCTCCCCAGCAGAGCCTGTTGTTATCAGCGGGCGTGGGTCCGCCGGTATCCGCTGCCTGCAGGGCCGGGCAGGGCTATCGGGTCCGGCAGGCCCCTTCCCCCTCCAGCAGCAGGCCCGGCCGCCCTATCTCATTAGCTCGAGATTAATGAGGCTCCTGCGCTGTCTTTAACTCCTTCCTGCTCGCCAGCTCCTGACCACAGCTCCGCTGACCCTCTGCTCTACTTGTGCCACAGGTTTGCGCCGACGCCTGCCGGACACTGACCCAGCTGAGGATTAGGGACACCGGCTGCGAGCGGGGGACCCTGAAAGTGCCAGCTCTGCGAGGGAAAGGGCGATGTGCTGTGCTCCAGCTGCTGCCTGCTGAGCCTGAGGACGAGTTTTGGAGCCTGCCTGGGACAAGCAGCACCCCAATCCCAACGGGGCAGCGCCAAGCCCGCGACGCACCGTAGCCCTTAAGCCAAGGAGACATCGGACCAAGCCTGAGAGGGATCAAGGGGGCCACATCCTTCCTTCCTAACCCGGTGTCAACCCCGACGGCACTGCCCTCACCCCCCGGCAGCCCCTTCCAGGGCTGCCTGCCCGTGGCGCTGCCCAGCTTTGGCCCCCAGCCCCGCTGGAGCGCGGCAGCCTGCCGGGCGCTGCCCCCCGGGCACTGCCCCCCGGGTGCATCGCCCCCCGGCCCCCCGGGGACCCCCCGCCCGCCGGCAGAGCCATGAAGCTGCAGGCGGTGATGGAGAACCTGCAGCGGCAGCAGCGCGCGCGGCTGCAGCAGGCGCTGCAGGAGCAGCAGCAGCAGCCGCCAGCACGCTGCACGTCCCCTCCAGCGCAGCCCTCGCAGCCCCCGGGGCAGCCCCGGGGCCGTGGGCAGGAGGCGGCGGCGCCCTCGGAGGAGGGAGCGGAGCCCGAGAGCGCGCACATGCAGCGGGCACAGATGGCTGCCCTGGCTGCCATGCGGGCGGCTGCCGCCGGCCTCAGCCACTCGCCCAGCCCGGGGCTGTCGGATGAGAGCCAGGCCTCCGAGGAGGAGGAAGAGGAGGAGCGCGGAGAGGAGGAGGAAGATGGCGGCGGGTACCAGCAGGAGATGGGCTCTGAAGAGGAGGAGGATCTGTGAGTGCGCTCGGATGGCTCTCTCGTGGGTTTGGGGAAGGGGCAGGGAAGTGGCACGACACTGGTGGGGCTGGGTAGGCTGAGGGGATCCTGTGGCTTGGGTTAGAGCTATTGGGGTATTTCAGAGCAGTGGTTTGGCTCTGTGGTGGTGATTCCTCATGCTGGGTTGGCACAACATTCCATCCCTGCCCAGCAGCCACGTGGGGCTGGGACAGAGGACCCCAGGCTGGTGTTAAATTATGCAGCACCCATGCATCCTCTCAGGGCAGGGCCAGGCCAGGAGCCATCTGGCAGAGGAGAGGTCCATGATGGAGCTGCTCCCGGGATGCTGGGGGCAGGCTGTGCCCCACAGAGCCGCCCCCACCAATGGGCTGTGCTGGGTGGGTGGTCCCAACCCCACAGCTGGGGTGGGCAGGAGAGAGGGATGAGCTTTAGGAACCAGCGTGGGACCAAACCTCTCCTCTCCTCCCGGCTCCAGAAAGGGCAAATGGGATGAAGATGACTTTGAAGAGGACCTGGGTGAGGAGGAAGAGGAAGAAGAGGAGGAGGAGGAAGAGGAAGACTACGAGGAAGAAGAAGACATGGGAGAGGAAGGGCTCAGCTCGGCAGAGGCGGTGCGGGCGGGCGCGGGGTCCCTGCTGCTCCGCAAGCCCCCAGCGCCCCAGCACTACCGGGGGGAGCCCCCACGGCTGCCGGGGGGGCAGGAGCGGCTGCCCCCCGGCCTGGGCCACGCTCAGCCCCCGCCACCAGCCCCTGACCACGGCGACTGGACCTACGAGGAGCAGTTCAAGCAGGTATGTGCCCGCCGAGACGCGCGTGTCCGTGCCGTGCCGTCCCTGTCGCTGCTCCTGCTCACCCCTGTGTCCTCAGAGCGTGGGGAGGTGCCTCTGGCAGCGCCGCCTCCGGCTGTGTTCTCCTCGGATCCAGCTGCTGTTGTCAGTAGGAATGCGTGGGATTTCTCCGGGGTTTTAGTGCTGGGCTCGGTCTCGCCCCTTCCCTGGTTGGGTGGCTGTGAGTGGATTCTGTGTCTGGGTTGTTCTGGTACAGGCAGGCAGTGCAGTTGGGTTTGCTGCAGGGATCTGGGAGGATTCTTGCTGGAAGTTATGAAAAAATCACCCCAGATTTATAAATCTGATGGATCTCTTGGTTTTCCACTCTCCCCAAGCCATTTTCCATGGGGACCTGTCTGTCTCCCTTCACCGTCACTACAGAGCTGATGCCTGGCAGGCCAACTCAAGCTCTGGTGGGGGGCAGAGCTGCACCCCTGCTGCTGCCAAAATGCCATGAAAAAGTGAAACCAGGGAGAAGGCAAGGAAGGGGGCAGCCAGGTGCTTTCCCCAGGCAGCGAGGCCAGCACATTCCCCCTCTCCCAGCGCCAGAGCTGGCTGCAGTCCACTCTCACTGACAGAAGAAAACTGCTGCAGCCAGGGCTCCCCGGGGGCTGCCCGGCACCTTTGATGTGTGTTTAAATGCATCAGAGTTTGGGGGAAGGGGCAGCACCAGCAGCAGCAGATGGGACCCAGATGGAGCGGCCAGGGCATGGTGCCTTTTCAGGAGGGATGCGACCACGTCTACCCCTTCACTTTCAGGAGGCTGCCACATCCCAAAGGGGGGAAGGGGCTGCCGGGATCTGCTGGCACATGTGGATGTGGGCAGGCTAAGAACAGGCATGGCAGAGGGAAGCAGTGGCCATCCTCCTGGTGCTGCCTGGCTGTGGGGATGGAGAGATGTCCTGTCCAGCTGCAGGGCTGGAGAGATGCTCCTGCTTGGCTGTAGTGATGGAGGGATGCTCCTATCCAGCTGTAGGGATGCAGGGATGCTCCTGTCCAGCTGCAGGGATGCAGGGATGCTCCTGCCCAGCTACAGGGATGCTCCTGTCCAGCTGCATGGCTGGAAGGATTCCCCTGTCCAGCTGCAGGGATGTGGGGATGCTCCTGTCCAGCTGTAGGGATGCTCCTGTCCAGCTGCAGGGATTGAGGGATGCTCCTGTCCAGCTGTAAGGATAGAGGGATTCCCCTGTCCAGCTGTGGGGATGCAGGGATGCTCCTGCCCTGCGCATCCCTCGAGCCGCTGCACCCGGGTTACCTGCTCTCCTTGTGGTTTCCCTCTCTTGTGCTTCCTGCCGCCGGCGAGCGAGGGGCCAGGGCCGTGAACTCGTAGCTGTGAAAAAGCTTTTCAATACCACAACTGTGATCTTCCTGTTCGTCAGCGTGTCAGTGCCGTGGCCTCTGCCAGGTCCCCTCTCACAGCCACAACACTTGGGAACACCAGCCATGTTCCCAGTGCTTTCCTTGCCTCCCAAACCATTCCCCCTCTCCCTGGGCACCCATCTCCCTCCGTATCCCTTCCTGGGATCCCTGGGAAGAGCCAGCTCGGTGGTGAGTGTTGGAAGCAGCTGGAGGGGGTTGGAAATCCTCCGTGGGCGGAGAAGGAGCGGAGGCCACGCCGGGCCCGGAGAGGCTTTCCCCGGCACGTCAGCCCCGAGCGAGCGCGCTTGGATCGCGGCCCCTGGAGCGGGGCCAGGCACAGCCGGCGCTGGCCGGGAGCTCCTCCTGGCCGGGCTCCAGCGCGTGCCGTGCCGCCGGGCTCCGGCCCAGCAGCCCAGCTGGGAAGGAGCAGCAGGAATGTAAACAGCGAGGGAGGGCAGCGCGGGGCAGGGGATGCCGAACCCCATCCATCCTCGATGCTCCTCGCTGTGGTGGAGGCGCCTTAGGGGGAACCCCGGCAGCAGGGTCACCGTGTGGGGCAGGGGATGCCATACCCCATCCGTTCCCGCTGGTGGAGATGCCTTAGGGGGAACCCTGGCAGCAGGGTCACCGTGTGGGGCAGGGGATGCCATACCCCATCCATCCCTTCTGTGTAGGCTTTTTAGGGGGAACCTCAGCAGCAGGGTCACTGTGTGGGGCAGGAGAAGCTGTATCCCATCCATCCCCATTTGTGGAGGTGCCTTAGGGGGACCCCCGGCAGCAGGGTCCCCATGTCTCGGGTTGCTGTTTGATAATTGCTGCCTCAAGATGTGCAGGATGTCTTTGTTTCGGCCTGTGCCTGAAGAACGAGTCTGGACTCTTCACTTTTCGGTCTTGAGGTTGTTTATTAATTCTTGTCTATAAAATTTTACTTTCTGCTCAGCAGGGCAGCCACAGGCACTCTCTGTGTTGTCCTTTTATACCACAAACTGCATATAACATATTTACACTTAATTTCCAATACCTATCACCTATGTTAGACAGTGCACTTCTACTCTAAACCAATCCCAAAGTGCCAACATCACTGCAGAAAATGGAGAACAAGAAAAAGAAGAAAGGCTGGACACGCCCAAGTTCTTCCATCTTGTCCCCATACCAAAAATCCTAAATCTACATTTTTCACCCTGTGATAATTTTATTATTATACTATTTAAACCTCTGTGACTTTCAGATCCTCATATAAAGTTGGCAACTTGTTTCAGGGGTCATAATCAAATCCTCAGGTGTTTTGGGCTGTGTGCCAGGGTCTCTGAGCTCCCTGGCGGGGTCCTCAGCAACTCTGGGCACCCAGAGGGATGTGCTGAGTTCTGACACTTGTGTGGCTGAGCCGGCAGGGATGTGGTGCTGTGAGTGGCTGTAGCAATGTTCTGCCTGCCTGCTCTGTGAGGGATGGGCTCTTTTGGGGTTGCTTTTTATTTTTTACCAAGGAGCTCCTCAATACCGGCCACCAACTTAACTCCCTGGCTGTCCAGCTCTCCCTGCGGGGAGTTCAGATCCAGTTTGGATTCAGCTCTGGTTGTGCTGGTGCCACCAGCATCCTTGGCCCGTGGGTCTCTGTGCTTGAGAAGCCCTCACCAGGCAATGCCACCATCAAAACCCCCATCCTTGTCTCCACACCCAAACCCTGTCAGCCAGGGGCTGCCCCCATCCTCCCTCCACCGCCAGGTTTTATTGACCCATCTGGGACGGATTCCTGTGAACTGGTGCTCGGCTTGCAGCCGTGGGGGGCCGCAGGCAGGAGGAGGATGGGGCCCAGCTGAAGGGAGGAGGAAGGGGAGGGCGTGAGGAAGAGTTATGGAGGTGAGGGAGGTTAGGGAGCCGGCGCGTGGCACCTCCCCGTCCCCAGGGACGGCTACTGCTCAGGCAGAGGTCAGCCCGGCCTGACCCGAGCGCTGCAGAACAAAGGAGCCCCCAGCCACACGGGGAACTCGGGGGCACCAAGGCTCCTCGGGGTGGGTGGGGGGGAAATAGGGGCATTTTTTTGGGTAGGAAGAGGCTCCCCGTGGGAAATGGATAAAAATCCAGCAAGTTCCTGCCAGCAAAGGGCTAAAACTGCTCGGAGTTCTGTGCCCCAGCGCTGTGGGGGCTCTGCTGCTGCTGTCCCCCAAGATCCCTGCTCTGATCTTTCTGTTTCATTATTGCTGTTGCTGCTCCCTGCTAATACTGAGCGTGGGAGGAGTGGGAGCCTCTCTGGTGGAGTGGCAGCCCCTGGAGCTGGAGTTTCCAGCCTTTCTGCCTCTTTTGGAGTTTGCTGTGCTGCTGTTGCTCCCTCCGGCGCGGGTACCCTGCATGCCAGTGCCCCATCCCATATTGCAGGAGCTCAAGGAATCCATCTCCCTGTGCTCGTCTCTTCCCTGTGTTCATCTCCTCCCTGTGCTCATCTGGCTGCAGCAGCCACCTCTCTCCCTCTGGGGTTCTCCATTTTGGGTGCCCTCTTTTGGGGTGTCCTGCAGTGGCTGCCTCAGGCTGATGTTTAACCACCCCCATTTCTGCTTCAGGAAGGATTTAAGAAGTCGCCACAGTGCCAATGGGAGGGGTTTTGGGGGGTGCTGGTGCTTTAGTGGGGCAAGAGGTTTCTTGTGTTGGGGACATCTGAGCCGTGCCGGTGGCACCCAGGCGCGAAAACCTCAGCCCTTATCTGGGCTGGTGCAGCTCACCCCGAGATAGAGCGTTTCAAAGTGCACTGCTGGGGGAAAAATAAACCGAAAGCAACTCGGCGACCTCGGCAGGGCTGCGGGGGTGGCTGAAACCGGACCCCCCCCTCCGCCCAGACCAGCACATGGCTGCTGGAACTGGGATTTTCCAGAGAGTCTGGAGCAGCAGACGGCCCATATCTCCTCCTCTGAATCCCCAGGAGCTCCTTAAGGCATGGGGGATCCCCTCTGAACCCCTTTCTCCCGTGGATTATTCTCCTTTTCAAAGCCCAAAGCCAGCTGGGGGCGTGGGGCCTGAGCCAGGGGGCCCCGTGGCCTCTTAACGAGGGCGGGAGGGTCCATTTACTTTCTTTAAAATATTGATTAGAGCTTTATTGCATTAGGCAGCCGAGCGGATGAGCCGCCCCCAGGGAGGGCGAGGGGGCCCCAGCGCAGGGAAGGGGGACCCGAGTGTCATCACAGGGCAGGGGGGCCACTTCCCCCTACCCACTCACCCACCCAGAGGCAGTTTGGCTCCCAGATAAGGGGGGGAGTGCCCTGGGGCCCCCGGTTAGGGTGCTGCTGTGCCGGGGAGGTGATTGCAGTGCCTGGCCAGGCCAGCAGCAGATAAGGCAGGCAAAGAGGGGATCTGAGCAGGACAGGAGTTGGGGGGCAGCGGGGGGAGTCAACAGTGGACCCCTCCTGTAGGATTGACGGGGGTAGGATGGTCGGGAAGGACAGAGACGAGAGATCTCTGGGGTTTATTGCAGAGGGCCTGGGTGCAGGGCCCTGCTGGGAGCTGCAGCCACAGCTCAGAGCAGGCCCGAGAGGAGAGAGAGGTAAAGAGAGAGAAGGCAAGAGCGTGGTAAAGAGATGAGAGAGTGAGGAAGGGTAAAGAGGGTAAAGAGAGAGTAA